GGGCATGGGACAGCACTAAGGGATAGGGGTGCAGAGGAGAGCACTAAGGGACAGGGGGGCAGGGGAGATCAGTAAGGGGCAGGATAGATCACTAAGGGACAGAGGGCAGGGGAGAGCTATAAAGGGACAAGTGGGAAGGGGAGATCACTAAATGATGGGAGAGCACTAAAGGATGGGAGAGCACTAAGGAATGGAAGAGCACTAAGGGATGGGAGAGCACTAAGGGATAGGAGGGGATAAGAGAGCACAAAGGGATAGGAGGGGATGAGAGAGCACTAAGGGACAGGAGGAAGGGGGAGAACACCAAGGGACAGGAGGGGAGGGGAGAGTTCTTAGGGACAGGGGGAGAAGAGGAGATGAGACCACCAAGGGACGGGGGGAGTGAAAGAGATCACTAAGGGTCTCACACACACACACCGAAACATACAATGCATCCTACACTCACACAGAAACACACAATGCATCCATTACACACACACACACACACACACAATGCAGCCCTTACACACATACCCAGAAGCACACAATGCATCCCTTACATACAAAAATCACACAATGGATCCCTTACGCACACACACAAGCACACACTGCTACTCTTTGCACACACACAGAAACACAATGCATCTCTTACACACACTCAATGGACCCCTTACAGACACATACACTGCATTACATTACATATATATATACACAAAAACACACACCTTGCATCCCTTACACATACAAACACAGATTCACACAATGCATCCCTTACACACACACCCAGAAACACACAATGCATTCTTAACACACAAACACTGCATCCCTTACACAAACTGGTATCCCTATACACTACATTCCATAAGAACTCACACACATTACATCCTCTACAATAACACATAACACATCCCCTACACAAATACACTCCACTCCCTGTGAGTGAATTCATGGATGGGCCTTAAAGGCATAAGGCTTATGGGCAGGCCTTGTACGCATATTCACGGTCAGACCCTGTAAGGAGCCGAAAGAAATGGAGATGGTTCCTGTTCGTTGATATTTGTGAGCACTGCCTCCAGAGAGGCTGTTTTAACACGAGACCAGTGGAGCCAGACTGCAGCCTTAGCCCATCATCATCCTCTTGTCCTCATCTGGTGGTAAGTAGGCAATCCAGTATATTATTAGTGGCACTAATCTCTAATTTACCTCACATTAAAGGGACGCTATAGTCACCAGAACCACTACAGCTTAATATAGTGGTTCTGGTGTCTATAGCCTGTCCCTGCAGGCTTTTTAATGTAAACACACTGCCTTTTCAGAGAAAAGACACTGTGTGTAGCACTGGTGTTGGCTCATATGGCAGATCCTATGGGTGGGGCATTGTGATGTCACATGGTGGGCAGAGCATATGGGGGGGCAGCAATTTTTTGTTTGCCTGCGTATCTACCACGGTCGCAGCTGCGACCGGGCCCCTCACCCCAATGGGACACATGGAAGGGAGGGGGAGAAAGGGCAGAATGGGACACATGGAGGGGAGGGGAGGGGAGGAGAGAGGGAGGGTATGGGACACATGGAAGGTCTGGGAGGGAGGAGGGTATGAGAAACATGGAGGGGCTAAGGGGAGAGGGAATGGGATACATGAAGGGTCTGGAGGAGGAGGAGCCTCTGTGACACATGGTGGGACTGAGGGGGGAGAGGGAATGGGACACATGGACTGTGGGGTAGAGGGAATAAGGCAGATGAGGGGGCCTGGGTATGGGAATGAGACACTGAGGGGGGAATGAGACAAATGGGAAGGGGGCCCCAGGTCAATTTTCGCACCAGGGCCCAGTGGATTCTAGTTAGGCCTCTGCGTATGGTAGAACAGGAATGAAAATTAACCCCATCATGGCATACCATTTGTAAAAGTAGACAACCCAGGGTATTCAAAATGGGGTATGTCCAGTCTTTTTTAGTAGCCCCTTAGTTACAAACTCTGGCCAAAATTAGCATTTATATTAGTTTTTTTTGTTGTTGCATTTTTCACAAATAAACTGCCCTTTCACCGATGATATTATCAGTATAATACAATTTACTGCTCTAAAACACTTGTGTTTGTGTAGAGTAATGGCTCATGAGTACAACAGTACCCCTCAAGAATGGATTTTATGGTGATTTAGAAAGTTACAGGGTCAAACATGAGATTTGCCAATTTCTGTTTTTGCTAATTGCTATTTACCATTGGCTATGTTGCCTTTGAGGCAGTATGGCAGCCCAGAAATGAACATTAATGCCACCATGACATACCATTTGAAAAAGTAGACAACAAAGGGTAATCAAAATGGGGTATGTCCAGTCTTTTGTAGGAGCCACTTCACTTTTACTGGTGATATCATCGTCATGATAAGTTTTACTGTTTTAAAACACTCATATTTGTGTTCAGTGAACTCTCCTGAGTATAACAATACCCCCATGTACAGGTTTTATGGTGTAGAAAGTTACAGGGTTAAATATCGGGCTTGCCATTAAATTCTCTGGACCGTCCGCCTGGGTTGTCAGGCATGTCCCTCAAATTATAAATTATAAAATCAAATAATTATGTAAAATTAATAGTTAAATATATATATGTAGAATTTATATATATGTAAAATATATAAATATATATATATATATATAATTTTTTTAACATTTAAAAAAATATATATATATATATATATATTGTATGTGTATTATATATGTATAATATATTATAAAATGCTTTAATTATTTTATAATATATAATACATCAGTGTGTGTGTATATTTATATATATATATATATATATATATATAAATATACACACACATATTATATACACACGTATTATATGTATATTTATATATAATACGTGTGTATATAATACGTGTGTGTATATATTTATATATATGCATATATATGTACACACACACACACACTTTTATTTCCTTTATATGTATAATATATTATAAAATAATTGAAGCATTTTATAGTATATTATACATATATAATGCATGTATATTATTTCATTATAAGTGTACTTTGTGATATATATAAATGCCAGCAAAACACCCACTGCTTTTTTTTTTAATATGCAAGGATGAACTTTTACTATTGCCTTGATTTAATTTGCTTAAATCTGCATCAGAGATTATTTCTTTCTGTTAGAAAAAAAGCTTTTCAAATTATTTATTTACAGATGTCACCATTACAAAATTCTGTTAGTCCAATAAAAAAGATATTACAAGATAGGTATTTTTTTTTTCACACCATTACCTATGCATAGACAAATGGTAAATTTGCTTAGTAAACACTTTAACGTTTGGATAGGGATCCTGGAGAACGTAAAGTAAACATGTGTAATCTAGAAAAGATATATCTCTTGAATCTTGACCGTAGACAAACCATTTCAATGTGCTATGCTTATTTTGCTGGGAAACCTGGTCCAAAATTGACTCTATGACAAAGTGGGAAAGAGAACTGAATATGAAATTTCCTATTGAGAAGTGGCCTAGGCTTCTATTGGCGTTATGGAACACATGGCAGTCTGTGGCACTTTTAGATTCCCATTACAAACTCATATATAGATGGTACCTTAGTCCTTCCAAATTATTTAAGTAAGCCTTATCCCCTACTAATAAATGCTGGAGAGGCTGTAGACAGGTAGGCACACTATTACACATAATTTGGACATGTCTTAAATGAAATACATATTGGGCCAAAATACAAACGCTCATACACCTTATTACAGATCAAATCCCACACATTACACTCGACTTGTGTCTCCTGAAGATATTCCCAGAGGCTGTACCTAAGATTAAAATGATGATGTTAGGTCATCTATTAATTTCAGCCTCTTCAGCTGATCCCAGGTACTGGAAGTCTGACACAATTCCATCCATGACAGGTGGTCTTGCGTAGCATATTCGAATTAAAGCGTTGTGAACTAGCCTTTAGGACTCCCTCTGTGTTTTTAGAATCGCTGAGACAAGATTGGACGAGCTGGGAAAGGAGTGTCAAAGGCAGTTTTGGCTTATAGGTATCATCTACACCACATCCAACCAAACAGCACTATATACAAATTATAACCTCATTTATATATACGAGCATTGACAATGAAAACATTTAAAAAAAAAAAAAACTATTTATTTAATATAAGGTTTTTTTTAATAGCTACTTTTTAGTTGTTCAAACTATTACTTTGTTTGTATATATATATATATAAAGGCATCCACAGAATCCTTGCACTCAAGCTCCAATAAATCGATAAAGACCTGGTGCTGAAAATCAGGGGAACATTTACATACCGATCTGTAGTGATTAGCACTCACGGATTTCCAGAGAATAGTATTAAAAAATAACTTTTATTGGTCCATTATAAAAGCTGCATCGACGTTTCAGTCCTCTAGTGGGACTTTCTTCCTGAAGAAACGTCGATGCAGCTTTTTTAATGGACCAATAAAAGTTATTTTTTAATACTATTCTCTGGAAATCCGTGAGTGCTAATCACTACAGATCGGTATATATATATATATATAATAGCATCGGATGATGTTCCCCTATTATTATTGTTATTATTATTGTGTTATTATTGAAAATTCATTCATTAAAACATTTTAAAAGATGTCACCATTAAAGTCTATGGGATTTTTTGTAGATAAGTCATTTGAAAAGGTTTTTTATAACAGAATGGAATCATTTCTGATGAAGATTTAAAGGACCACTATAGGCACCCAGACCACTTCAGCTTAATGAAGTGGTCTGGGTGCATGGTCCATCTAGGATTAACCCTTTCTGCTGTACACATAGCAGTTTTAGAGAAACTGCTAAGTTTACATTAGGGTTAATCCAGCCTCTAGTGGCTGTCTCATTGACAGCCGCTAGAGGCACTTCCGTGCTTCTCACTGTGATTTTCACAGTGAGAAGACGCCAGCGTCCATAGGAAAGCATTGAGAATGCTTTCCTATGGAATTTGACTGGGGCGCGTCATGACGTGTTTACGTGGTGACGGATGAGGAGGGGCAACCGCCATGGAGTGGAGTGGGGCGAGGTATGACTAGAATGACAGAGTAACACAAGCGGTCTTGAGAATACCTCCCTACAAGCAACTTATTTTTCGTGTTAAACTTTACCCGGTTGCAGACACCACCACAGTATCATGGACATGAAAATACTGGCTGTTGGGTCACAAAATTAAAATCCTGGCAAAAACGTTCAGTGAGCCCTGTGAAGTACTCGGTCCGGCGCAAGCCAGCTATCACGGAGGAGGATAAGGGGATAATACAAGACAGACAAGAGGCAGTAAGAGGCAGTAAGAGGCAGTAAGAAGCTTACCTCTAATTTGCCATACTTCAAGTGCTGTCGTATAAACCAAATTAATAACGTGGTGGATACTAATCTGACCAAACCGGCTAAATTGGGAATTGGAGCTGGTAAAAGGGAGGAAACGAGATTTGTATGTTTCTGCTTTTGAAGTATTGATTAAGTAGAAGAGTGGCAGGTGAGGCGCCGGGTAAAGAGTAAAAAGTAAAATACTTTTAAAAATAAAGGAAAAAAGTGTAAAAGACGGTTCTCTTAAGGGGACCAAGAAAAAATAAGGATAAAGGTTAATCTGGAGCCTAAGTAAAATAGCAAATAGAAGACGCCAAGAGATTTGTATGTTTCTGCTTTTGAAGTATTGATTAAGTAGAAGAGTGGCAGGTGAGGCGCCGGGTAAAGAGTAAAAAGTAAAATACTTTTAAAAATAAAGGAAAAAAGTGTAAAAGACGGTTCTCTTAAGGGGACCAAGAAAAAATAAGGATAAAGGTTAATCTGGAGCCTAAGTAAAATAGCAAATAGAAGACGCCAAGATTCTAAAACATCTTCAAAAAAAGATAGAAAAGATCCAGCATGAGACAAGAGTTTAACCCCTTAAGGACACAACTTCTAGAATAAAAGGGAATCATGACGGAATATTTCCGTCATGTGTCCTTAAGGAGTTAACTAATTACTTTTCCCCTCAACAACAAAAAGAACAACAAAGAGTTAATTTAAAACAGACCATGGATATATCGTCTACTGTCTCAGATAATCTTGAACTAGAAGAAAAAAAGAGCTAGTGAATCACTTGTAATAGAACAACTGAATGCAAGCTTACAGAACAACTTATTAGAAATTAAAAGAGAAATAGCAAATAATACACTTGAAATTAAGCAAGAAATCAAACAAGAAATCAATCAATTAACTTTAAAAGTTCAGAATTTCGAAGATAAATTAACAGAATTAGATTTCCAGATCAATAAATTAAAAGAAGCTAATGAGAAGGTTAAAGAACAAGTGGTCTCTTTAGACTTAAAAATTAACGAGCTGGAAGACCGCTCAAGAAGGAAAAACCTTCACTTTCGGAACTTAGAAGAATCTAAAAATCAGGAAGACTTAAAAGGGATACTAAAGGAGTATTTTGCTGAGCTGGGACTAACTGTTAACGGACACGAAGACACAATAGAAAGGTGCCACAGAATCTTCAAGCCCCAGAATATTAGAAAAATCTTTCCTAGAGATGTGATGGCCTGTTTCCATTCTTGTGACTTCAAAGAAAAAGTCCTGAGAGCATTTAGAGGAAAAACAAAAACAAAGATGGATGTTTTCAAAAAATTATAGTAATGCTGGACCTGTCGTCTAATACCCGTACGAATAGGAGAGCCTTCAATACAGCTATTCAGATTTTAAGGAGACACGACATAAGATACAAATGGTCTTATCCGTTGAAATTAATCCTATCTTATGAAAATTGCTCTGAAGCCTTTGAAACTCACGAAAAATTAACAAATTGGCTAATACTTAAAAATTTACGTTGATAATTAGTCAGCAATGTAGTTAAGGGAAATAGGAGGTGAAAAGTGTTTTTTTTTGTTAAAATCGAATTACAATAATCGATTTTTTGTTAAATTTAATTTCTAAAATTATAATTGTTATAACACAAAATTGCACTAGTAAAAATAGAAGGAAAACGGATTGCACACAAGATACTGGAAGAGAATGTAATTAGTTAGGAGGATAAGTAATGCAATATTTCGTAATTAGAAGGGTATATTCACAAGTGATGAGTTAAAAATATGATAATTATAGAAGAACAGACACGTTAGACAATGCTTAAATTTTCAAGTGAACATGTAATGTTAAACACCGAAAACACTTTTTTTTTTTTTTTATACTCCCTCCACTCCAAATTCAGTTTGCCCCACTTTCTGTAGTAATATGATAGACCAATCCGAAAAGAGGTTGATTCCCCTGCGGGCCCTGTCATTGGACGCAGAAAAGGCGTTTGACAGGGTCAGCTGGGGATATCTGGAGAAACTCTTGGAGGGGTTTGGGTTTAGGGAAAGGATCTTTAAAGCTATTATGGCATTATACTCCATTCCTTCTGCTAGGACTGTTGGAGCTAATATTTGTGCAGAATGGTTTGACCTAGAGAACGGTACAATGCAGGGGTGTCCTTTGTCTCCTCTGCTTTATATTTTATCACTTGAACCTTTAGCAATTAACATCAGAGATAATATTAACATTAAGGGCTTTTACACTGCCTTAGGAGAAATAAAATTTTTGCTATATGCGGACGATACCACCATCACATTGACATCTCCTGAACTATCTCTTTCAGAGTTAATGCAAGAAATTAATAAATATGGTTTGGTATCTAACTATAAACTAAACATCTTAAAATCTACAGCACTGCATAAGAATATAGATCAATCCATAGTGGATAAATTGAGTGGAGAGTATGATTTTCTTTGGACTAAAAAAGAAATGAATTATTTAGGAATAATAATTCCTTCAAAGGTGGCAAACACCATGGAAATAAATGTTATGAAGCTATTAAAGCAGACAAATAAAACATTGAAATTATGGAGAAAAGTGAGCATTTCTTGGTGGGGGGAATTAATAGTGTAAATGCATATATTGTACCCAAATGGTCTTATTTATTTTCAATGCTTCCCTTAAAAATTTCCAAAAACTGGCTTGAAATGATTCAAGCCAGTTTCTCATCTTTCATATGGAATAATAAAAGACCAAGGATTAAATTAAAGATACTTTCAAAAAAGTTAAAACAAGGTGGCCTCAATTTTCCTAATATAAAACTTGTATATTATGCGAATGTAGTAAAACACATAGATAAATTACAAGAAAAACATATGACTGTAGACCCCTGGTTTCTTATTGAAGCAGAAGCTACCAAGACTAGCAATTTGGAGTATTAATTATGGTTTAATAGTGATAAGAAGTGCACAGAGCTCCTTACAGATAAATCATTAATTCTATCCCAACTATTACAATTATGGGAGGAGATTAAAAAAGTTTTAGGAATAGTTCAGCATATACCAAAAACCTGTAAACTCATTGTATTAGAACAGAATATCAAAGACTTGTCTTTAAAATATTGGACAAATAAAGATCTCATTACTATCTCACAAATAATGAAAGAAGACAAGATAATCACATTCCAAGAGTTGATAACAGAATTTCATGTTCCAAATCGAGAAATCTTCACATATTTAAGAATAAAAAACTTTTTAGAAGTAAATGTTTTGAAATCTTCTTCCCAATTATCACGTTATATAGAAAACATCTTTACTTATAACGAGGTGAATAAAGTCACCTCCAACGCAAATCTCCTTCTCGATTCGCTTAATGATAATCCAGTGAAAATAATAAACTCTTGGGAACAAGATCTGAAAACAAGTATATCTATAGAAGAATGGTGTCCCTCCTTGAATCAAACATAAAAAATGTACACTGTTTGAATCTGGCTGAATGCCATTTTAAAATTATGAATAAATGTTATCTAACTTCAAAGAAGCTAGCAAAAATGTACCAAGAGTATAATCCCTTGTGCTGGAGATGTGGCAGTGATATAGGATCTTTCATACATATATGGTGGTCCTGTCCCTGTCTCAAAATAATCTGGACATGGGTTTTTGATCTTTACTATGTTTTGACAGGAATAAAGCTAACTTTATCTCCTTTAATTGCGTTATTGCACATAAAGTGGAATCTAACATCAAGCAATGATATTTGTATTGCTATTCATTGCTTTATAGTTATGAAAATTATAATAGCTAGAAACTGGAGGTCCTCCATGCCTATTCAAAGGCATCATATTCTCACTCAAATCAAGACACAACTTAATATGGAAAAATCTCTCCGTGTCAGTTATAATGCTAATAGTAGGAAAACTGCCGTATTTGAAAATTGGCTAAACAAATTGTTAACTTTATAATGATTCCCTGAACTTAAAAGAACTTAAAAGAATTTAAAAGGAAATTCTATTAACTTGATTAGTTAAGTTTTATTCTGCTTTGTCGAGAATGTTTGGATGAATGCTATACATTTATGTAATGATATGTTTATAATGTGCTTGATTTTAAGACTGTGATATCAAGATGCTGTGAGTTTTGTATGTATAAATATATACGTTAAAATTAAATAAAGAAATATAAAAAAAAAAAGAGAGAGAATGCTTTCCTATGAGACTGGCTGAATGCGCGCATGTGCATTCAGCCGATGACATCAGCAGAGGGAGGAGAGTCCCAGCGCCGAGGGAGCCCGGTGCTGGAAAAAAGGTAAGGGATTACCCCCTTCCTCCCCCTTCAGCGCCACGGGAGAGGGACCCTGAGGGTGTGGGCACCCTCAGGACACTATAGTGCCATAAAAACGAGTTTGTTTTCCTGGCACTTTAGTGGTCCTTTAAAGTTATTAAATCAAGGGCTATGTGTGCTAACACTAGCATGTAATAACTGACTAATGTGATAAACTGTGATAAAAGCACCCTCTAGTGGTAAAATAACAACACATGCTAGAAAAAAAGCTTGCTACAAAGAGGTGATTGTTGCAACAATTAAGCTTATGTTTTCCATGCTGCAAATCCATATATTATAATATAGGGGATAAATAATGCTAATATCAAAAATCCTGGAAAATGACAATTCCCCTTTTTGGAAAATCTATTATGTCGAATATTACATCTACTATTATTATGTATATTTATAAGAGCCTTGTTCTTTATACAAGATTTCAACATAATGTTGGAATATCGTGTTGTACAAGGGTGACAGAAATATTTTAAAATGTTGGCCAGAGGACATTGGAAAACAGCAGGTAACGTACAATCCACCCCAAAATGAATAAAGGAAGAAGAAAAGATAATGAAAGTAAGAGAGAAGAGAAAAAGAGGAGGGAAGAGGGGAGAAAAGAAAAAAAATGATCCCAAAAGGAAGCACAAAGCCCAAACCCAGAAGCAAAGATGTGAGTCATTACCCAACTGGACCTTCGAGGTAGAGTAGCC